CCCGTTGGTGTCTGATGCCTCCCTCACTATTTCCTTCCATCTTTCCCTGTCCAGTGCAGAGTGGCTTAGTTTCTGTAAACTAGCTCTGCATCAATCTACTATACCATCTACTCATTCTCTGTGGGGTATGCCTATCCTATTTGGATCATCCATTAAGCTGAATACCAAGGTCTTAACTTTTCCCTTGTTGTTCATTCTGCAAATATGCCCGAATAGCTGTAACTTCTGTTGTATAACCTTCTGCAGTAGGTTCTCTTTCGGCTGTATCTTCCTATATAATTCCTTGTTGGTGACCTTCTGCATCCATCCTATTCTCAGGATCTTTCTATAAAAACTCATCTCAAATGCCAATATCCTTCTCTTCGAAACTTTCATTATCACCCATGTCTCACATCCGTACAACATGCTGCTAAATGCACACGTTTTCAAGACACTCAGCTTCATTCCTAAGCTAATTGCTTTATTTTTCCAGATCTTATCCATCACCTTCAAACTCACTTTTGCTTTCACTATTCTAGTCACTATTTCCCAATCGTTAATACATTGGCTAGGGGGAAAAGTACCAGGTTGTAGCTTTCTGAACAGTCTTGTGTTCATAAGATGTGACTGGCAAATTCCTAATGATCTGCCAGTGCTTGCATAACTATAAAAAATAGCCCTTTCAGTTTGATGTATTCTCTGGCAAAGCTGTGTTGATGCTACAACCTGGTACTTTCCCCCCTAGCATTTTCTTGCACCAGCACAGTTCCATTGCTACAGATCCATCCATTGTGTCCTGCACATTGCTGAGGGTCATGGTCCTGCATAGCAGCAGACCACTTATGACACTGGACACCTACATGGCAGTTGCACCTACAGTGGATTTTCCAATTCCAATTTCTCACTGACCGGTACCAGTCTAGCATTGCAAGTTTCCAGAGAGCAATCACCACTCCTCTGTCAGTGCAGGTCTTATTCTGGTATGTCTGCAGTGCAGGGCTGGGTGCACTCTGCACATAAATATAGGAGTGTGGCCTTGTACATCCAAAAGTTCTGCAGCTGTTGCGCCTCACCCCAAGCCTGTGTTATGACATGTTCCCACCAGTCAGTACTTGTTTCTTTGGCACATAACCAGCCCATTTGCAGCTACTCCATGAATGCCACCAGTAATATGCCCTCCAGGAAATCATTGTGTTCCCCCATGATTCTTCTTGTGGCTCTGCAGATATCATAGCTGCGTGCATCTTATTCTTGAAGACTTACGACAGTAGCCTCTGAGCTTCCTTTAGAGATATTAGAAGCCGTTTGTAGGTGGAATTTTCAAAATAAGCACAAAAATTATGTGATAGAGGATGTCATTGGAGAAAGTTGCTTGATGGGAACTTGACCTCACAGTCCCTGCCACCCCTTTTGCTACTTGATTCTGTCTCACCTTGCTTTGCCAACACTTCCCTCAAAACAGTTGCACACTGTGTTAGCTGCATTGAAACAAGCACTCCTGGTGAATATATATAGTGTCGACTCTGGCACACAAGTGATACGCTAACTGCTGCAACTTTGTGCCAATGTAACTTGAATCAGCAAAAGATTGTAGTGTGGAGCTAGCCTAAGATTGACACCTCATGTTTATTAGAAACTTTGCTCTGTGATTACATAGAAAGCCTTCAGTCATTTAAGAGTCTTGGATCAAACAAATGTGCCATTCTCTTTTCCAGTCCTCTAATCTTGTGCCGTAGGATTTTTACTTGTACTAAAAAAGCATTTTTGCAAAATGATACTGGTTGTAAGTCTTCCTATTTGGACTTTTCACATCATGATCAATTTACTACTTAAAACAAGTAATTCATAACAGCTTTCTTTAAATGTGGAAGAATAAATTCTCTTAAAAAAAATCCACGGTGTGTCTCTTGGTGGCTATTTAATTGACTAAAGGAATGTAGTTGGGATTTGTAAGTGGTATGATTTTTTGGTTAGTATTTCAAAATGACTTTATCTACATTGCACACTAACCTGGCCTTGTAGATTTAGGGATTCCAAGCCCTTATTTGATCATCTACCTTACATTGTAAATAAGATTGCCAGATGGTTTCAACAAAAATACTGGACACACTTGACATTACATCACAATCTACATTACATCTTATTTAGAAAATACTGGACATTTATATTTTCTCATTTATATTTTTTCAATTTGTTTCCCGAACAGAAAGCTCAAATATTTGACTGTCCAGTTCAAAGCCAGACACTTGGCAACCCTAATTGTAAACCTGCGTTTGCAATTGTCAGACCTGGGTCTCACAGCCATGCTAATGTATCCATACTGCACTTGGCAGACATTCTGACTCATGTTTGTGATCAGCTTTGTCCACATGGCAATACAACAGTGCTTGGGCCTAAGTCATAATGGGACTGGGTCTCTGGCCCTTTCCCCTCCCACCAGGAAGGTCCTCAGGTCAGGTCCTAGTGGTTGCTAATCTGAGTTAAATTGATTTGTGTGTACATGGAAGAGGGGTTAGAACTCAAACCTGAGTCAGAGCCCAGGGTGAGTAAGCAGTGTAGACATACCACCAGTGACTTTGAAATTGCAATTTGATCCATAGCTTTCTACCTCCAATTCAAATCCAGCCCAAGTCAGAAGTGATTAACATTTTTATCTTTAGATAGCTTTGTCATGGCCTGTGTGAATTGTAGTGGTGGTGGTGTCTCTACATTGCAACTGATGCTATTTGCAACTGATGCCACCCATCTGGTTGGACAGTCCAAGGATTGAATATGTCCTGGAGAATTAATTCCCTTCTCATCCCTGAAAGTGAATTATGTGATGAGCAGCCATAGGTTAGTGTTGCAGGAAACCTGATTGCTGGTATTTGTGATGTACTTACTTTGTGTATTGAGAACTTGGGCCAACTAAGAAAATTTTCATGAGCCTTCAATCTCACATACAAAGAGGATGAAAAAAGGCTGGCATTCTAAAGGTGAAAGGGAACTAACAATTCAGTGCTCAGTAAATTGAGTAAACATGTAGAGGGGAAGATATAAGCAGTACCAATCATTCATCATTGTTAATGAAGTAGTCGTTTCACCGGGAGGGCCATTGTACACGATTTAATAATGTAAAACAAATGCAGCTATGATTAGTAAGATAGTGACACTTAAGCAGTTTTGAAACACACATCCCTATTCTCATTATTACTGTAGCCACAGTGAGCTAATAGGACTTCCAGCATTCACTGGTAACATGAAGCTGAGTTGCGCTGTAGGATGTTTGTGTAGAGAAATAACTGATGAGAAAATATAGAGAACTGGAAACAATTACAGGTCAAAGGAGCTTTCCTTTTCAGGGACACCCTATGGAGTTTTGAATCACTGTTACATTTAACTTAACAGTTTTGTGACTGAATTCTTTCATAGTCAGGTTAGATAAGCATACCATGTGTATACATTTAGGACACAGGAAACCTGGCTTGAGTGTCCAGTATTTGGATATTGGCACAGAAAGGGGGCTTCTAGGAAGTCAAAGACATCTCCCTACAGAGTGCAATTAAAAAAATGTGGATACTGTCCAATGCTCCCTGGCTCAGTCATAAGCCAAAGAAAATTTGCCTCGTGAAATGGAAATTCTGAAGCAATTCAAATAATGCCAAAGGAAATTAAACAAAAAAAGGCACTCTCCAAGATGGGGCAAGTACTATGCAAAAGTTAGAACACTCCAAGCCTATAGAATTTAATTACTTTTAGTGAGGTCAATGTTTCTAGGGAATTTTTAACCATTTGTGACTCATAATAGTGTTAATTTGGAATTTATTTTATTTCTAAGAAAATATTGGATTAAACGTTAATAATAAAGATATATGGATTTGGTGCTTACGTACTGGGATGTTAATGTATTTCATTAATATTTACTACCTCTGTATCTTTTCCATATTCTCCTATTGTTTTAAAGGTAAAAGGCTGCTCAGAATGTTTAAACCTAATAACTATGTTAATGAATGCATAGCAGAAATGAAAAAATGATTACGGCTTAAAAATGAACAGGTTATATGTTCACTATATGAGAGAGAGCCTCAATCTGAAAACAAATCAAATTGTAACAGATTGTTTAAAATAGATCCTTGACAAAAGACTTAATCTTAAATTCATACAGTTTACTTTATTAAAGGAGACATATATAAGTGGAAGTCCATTCCGGTTATATGCATGCAGTGTAGCATGAGGTTTAAGGTGTAGTGTTAAGTAATTAACAATTGCAGTTTTGGCCTCTTTTTAAAAAGTTTTTTAAGGCTTTACAGACATTGGAATATACTTTTTGTAAAAAATCTATTGGATTTTTGTATTCTTTCTAATCTCAAGAAGCTAAGAAAATAAAAGTATTTTGTTTGTTTTTTTCTGTCTTGTAGTTTCCCCCCACAGCTTAATGCTGAGCTATGAGAAAAATTTGCCATATGTATAACTACAATCATTTTAAAATATGTATTCAAATAATTATATCTGAAAGTCTTGCTTAGTTGTGTTCCCTTTCTAAGTTCTTTTTTCATTCCTTATTCTAGTGAATGAGTTTACTAGCAAGAACATTTGCCTAAAATATCAAATATTAATAAAACCTTATAGACTATTTATAGAAAATATTTTTGAAACAAAATGGTGAATATTTAAAATGGACATATGCTAAAGAGTTACTCCATTCACTCATGAAGTACAAATATATTGTGATTCATTGTCAGTACAAAAAACCTCAATTTTTGAATACTCAAGTAATTGCGTGGAATTGAATACACAGAAAAATATTGACTAAAACATCAATTAACAGAAAAGTATGAGACACAACTTAGTATTTGATATATTCTGTTTAATTTAAATTACTGAAAAACTCAGTGCTCTTCCAGCACCTACAAGACCACAGAGTAAATCCCTGTACTTTTGCACAGTTATGCATTAAAAATTGTGAAACAAATTTTTTTGAGGAAGTTACTTCTCTTCAGTGCCCATTTCCTAATTAATTCAAAATTATTGATTTTTTTCAGGATTGAAGTGGATCTAGGAATGAATGGATGACTGAATATTCATATGAAGAGGAAAGCCATAAAAGTTGGTTGACAATTTTACAACAATATGCATTATAAATATTGCAGGTAGCAATAAAATATATATTCTTTAAGGGTACGTCTACACTAGCCCCCTAGTTCGAACTAGAGAGGCTAATGAGGGTGACCAAAATTGCAAATGAAGAGCGGGATTTAAATATCCCATGCTTCATTAGCATGTTCTCAGGCGATCGCCATTTTGGAAATTGACTAGCCCGGAGTAACTGACTGCGTCTTCACGCAGCAGTGAAACGGGAGTTCAAAGTAACCCCTTAACTTGAATTAGCTGTTACTCTTCATGGAATGAGGTTTAACAGCTAATTCGAGTTAAGGGGTTACTTCAAACTCTCGTTTCACTGCCGCGTGTAGATGTGGGCAGTTACTCCGGGCTAGTCAATTTCCAAAATGGTGACCGTCCGGGAACATGCTAATGAAGCGTGGGATAATAATTTTTCTGAACTTCATGTTCACATTATATGTCAGACAAGGTTCAGTTGACAATTTATACAGGGTTTAATAATATACTTTCTGATGCTGTTTAAAAAGCTATCAAAAGAAAACAGAAAACTAACGGAAATTATTTAGGTCGGAATACTTATTTTTATTTGAAAAGTATGCTTTGAGACAAATTCTGTGCTGGCTTAAGTCCCGTGCAATTCCATTGATGTCAGAAAGGTTGAATGTCACAAAATTGTAGGGTGTTTCTTCTTGACATGCAGTAATTGTTAAATGGAGGATGCTAGTTATGCAGTTTAATGCATTATTGGTTGAATGCAATGATGTGTTGGATAAATGCCAAACTGATGAATGCAATACGAGAAACAACAGAATAGGATATCTTTATTAGATATTTGGTGCTTTCTGATCTTTCTCTGAATTATCAACTTTTAAGAGTGATTCGACAGCATCATTTCCTCATGGTTATAAGGGAACAGGCACTTTGGGTCCTCAGTATTACACTGTCTTTAATTTAATGCTTTATAAAATTATTAATACGAGTATATTTTGGAATCTGCCTTTGTCCTCTGAACTAATAGCTACTAATGCTTAGACTTTAGCTGTGATGCTACTTCAACCAATATCCCTTCCAGTCTGCACCACATATTTACTTTGTTTCCTTGTCTGCAACTAGTAAATTAATTATAATGGCAAATACAAGGAGCAGCATCAAGATATGGGTTACTGAAACTCACTTAAGCAGTGCCTTCTGAAAGACCTTATGATCACTGTCAACAAGTGTAAAAAGATTTAAGCAAAGATTTCCTCATCATTCTTAGACATTCCATTCACGGAAACAAAACTAAGCTTTTTCCTGGAAATGCAATACCTTTTGGAAGCAGTAGTTTTTATTCTATGCATTGTCCCAACTGTGTTTCACCATACCAATGAGATTAGTCATCTCCTGAGGTCCTTAGGCTAAGGAAGCTAATTTACCTAGACAGACAAGGTGAGTGAGGTAATATCTTTTATTGGTGTAACTTCAGTTGCTGACACAAGCATTTGAGCTACACAGAGCTCTTCTTCAGGTCTAGGAAAGGTACTTAAAGTATGAAGTGGCCACTTGACCTTAATAGTCCCTTAGAATATTCATTAACTACTTATGCTAAATTGCATGTTCAGTCTTGTATTTAGCTGTGACAATCTGATCCGAAGAAGAGTTCTGTGTAGCTTGAAAGCCTGTTTCTGTTACCAGCTGAAGTTGCTCCAATAAAAGATATTACCTCATCCCCCTTGTCACTCTAGTATCTTTGGTCTGACACAGCTATAGCACCGCATATTTACTTAAGAGAGTATTTTGATTGTAAGAACTACAGAATGGCTCAAAAGCTTCCTGTTTTGGCAATAATCCACTTGAAGTTTTTAGCAGGCACAGAAAAGACTGTTGTGATTTCTTTTCTGTTGAGACTTTCTAGTAATTACCACAGATGGTAAGGTTCTCATCTTAAACATACCATGATTCAAGAGATTACTATTGGTTCAATACCACTTGGTACCATCGTGCTTGGTGTTGTGCAAAACTGGGCCAGCAGGTGATGCGTGCAGCCTCTGTAATCTATAGTAGGGGTGAGCAATAATTTTTAATGGGGGGTGTAAAGGGGTGAACACTGCTGGAGCGCTAAAGAGTTGCCTACTTAGGGTCACGGTGTCACCAGCTCCTACTGCGGCTGTCCTCAGCCGCCTTCCCTAGCCCCCTGTGGGCTCCGCCCTCTTTTCCCTCCTCTGGTGCCCCTGCTGTCCTTTTAGCAAAGTCCACAGCCCTGTTGGGGAAAACGATCTGAGCCTTTAATACACTCCACTATTCTCCAGTCAATGCACCAAGGCCCCTCTCCCCTGCCCCCGCTTCTCCGCAACTGGGGGAGGGGGATGGTAGGGGGACCCGGGCCCACCCTCTTCACCAGGTCCCGGCCCAGGGCCCTAAGAGATAAGAGATTACATGCTCTCCACCTCTTTATGGTCAACAGGGACACTGCCCATAACACGCTGACCCATGGGTTCCCTAGAACCCCACCTTGGGTCACTTCCTACCTTGCCGGGTCTCATCATACCCCTATTTACACAGTTGGTTCCCCGGGGCCACCGGCCCACTTTAAGTTCATGAACAATCACCCGAGTCTTTCCGAGCCTCCGCGTCCCCACCGAGAGTGCCCCCGCCTTCCTGGTCAGCCACCCCACTCTTGCTCACCTCCACCTCCCTCCTCACAGTCTGAGGAACGTCCTTTTCAAATGAGGTGCCTCAATGCCACTCTGGGCGTCCAGCATGCCTTGCGGCATGCCTCTCCTCCTCCCCCTTCCTTCCTCTGCGTGCTGGCGGCGTAGTCCAGCTGCGGCTGCTCGGCATGCCGGCGCCTGTGCAGTCCAGTCGCTGCCGTGGTGCTACCCCTCCTTGGCACAGTGGTGGTGGAGCTGAGGAAGTGTGGGGCCCGGAGTCTCCGTCACAGAGGGCCACTCCAAGATTTTGGTAAGTGGTCAAGGACCACACTTCTATGGAGGGAGTGCAGTGGCTGGGATGGAGGTTGGGTGCAGAAGAGAGCTTGAGGTAGAGGACTGGGGTGCAGGAGAGGGTGTAGGGTCTGAGAGGGAGTGTAGGTGAAGGAGGGGGTGGTTCTCTGGGACAGGAGCTTGGGTGCAGGGTCTGTAAAGCAGAATGTGTATAGGATTGGATTCTGGTCTGGGGAAGGGGTGTAGGAGGGCATGTAGAGTCTGGAGGGGAGTTGTGACCTGGGAGAAGGGGAGAAAGGAGGTGCAGAGAGTTTTGGTGGTGGGCTGTACCCAGGAGGAGGTATGGGTACAGGAGAGGATTCTGGCCTGGGGAGGGGCATAAAAGCAGGTACAGGGTCTGGGAGGGAGTTGTGACCTGGAGGAGGTAGGGAGCGGGGGTACAAAGGGTTAAGGTGGAGACCTGGCGCAGAAGTGGTTAGTGGCCTGGGGTAGGAGTGAGGGTTAGGGTGCCAGAGGTAGGCTACGGCTGGGAGGTGCTTATCTAGGTGACTCCCAGCCAGCAACCCTGCAAGAACCTGATGGAGGCTCTCCGCCTGTCTGCTGTGGTCCCAGGCTGGTCAAAATACCTGGCTGCTCCATGTGGCTCTTCTCCAGCATGGGGATTGGGGAGTGAGGGAAGAAGGCTTTGCAGGTTGCCATTGCCCTCAGTAAAATGTCTCAGCTCCTATTGGCCAGAAACTGGCGAATGGGAGCTGAGAGATTTTGCTAAAGGGTAGGGACAGCAGGCAAAGCCTCCCCCTTCCTTCCCAGCATGCTGAGCATAGAGCAGCCAGCTATTTAAAGTGGCATGAGCTGCTTTGTGCCTAAGATGAGGCAGCTGAGGGATGGATTTGGCTCGTGGGCCACATATTGCCCATCCCAATCTACAGAAAACTAACAAGACTCCTGAGTAGAGCCTATCCATATCTGTGGATGTGGATATCCATGGCTTTTTTTTCTGATATAGATGCGGATACAAATTTTATATCTAGAACCCTGCAAATTTGTGAATATCTGCTTTATATCTCCAGGCATCTGCATCTGTGGATGTGGATGCAGATATCTGTGGTTCATGTTTGAGGATACAGATGTGGATGTGGATACAAAATTTTATATCCATGCAGCGCTGTATTCACAAGATCTTTCTGAACTAAAATTTCTGACTTTTCTATGTGTCTTCTCTGATACCAGTGTATGTTGGATCGAAGGAAACTAACTTAGCTGGGGAATCAGTATTTGCATGTTGCAATATGTTGGCTAACTCAGATATAGAGAAGGGAAAAAAGTAATGTTATTCAACTGAACTTCTTGGACTTATACATTCCTGAAATGTAGCAAACAGATGTCTTAAAAATAGACTAGAGAACCTGTCTTGATTGCCAAGAGAGCTAGCAAAGATCCCTTTATTTATATGTAAACAAGCTGGAGTTCCTGTTGGTCTGGAAAGTTCTCAATGTGTTACAGATCAAAAAGGATACTTACACACCTATTTTGCTAGGTCTGCTCAGACAACACTGTTGCAGTGTCTCTTACCATATGTATTGAGGAAGATCCAGGCCAGACTAGATGATCATGACCATTTTGGTCAAATTCACAGTCATAGTATTTAAAATGTAATAAATTTCATGATTTCATCTATTTAAATATGAAATTTCATGGTGTTGCAATGGTAGGAGCCCTGACCCATAAAGGAGCTGGATGGGTTGCAAGATTATAGTAGGGGGAGTTGTGGTGCTGCTTCGGAGATGGATGGGCAGAGGGCAGGAACTATTGACTGGGAGCCCAGCTTTCAGGACAGAGCTGCTGCAAGCAGCAGTGCACAAGTAAGGATAACATGCCAAGGCACTGCGCTGCTGCCTGCTTAGCTGGGCCCTCAGTCGGCAGCCTATGATGCCTGACCACCTACCTCTGAAGCAGAGAAGGGTGACAATACTGCTACTCACCTAAATTAACTTTGCGACCCCCCCCCCCACAACTTGCTTTTGGCCTCTCATTTTGAGAAATGTTGGTCTCCCCCATGAAATT